AGTACGCAAACGCTCTGTATCCGATCTCTGAAGCATCGGAAAACACATGTAGCCCGGTAGGTTCCTTGTGCCTCAGGGTTGTACGCGGTTTGGGAATCGTTAGCTCCCCGAGTCTGGTTAGGCCCATTTTCCAGCGTGTCCATTCCTCGTGTTCCTCGGGGTCCAAATGACCGTCCCATTCTTTGTGTTTGTTGCATAGGCTCTGTAACAACAGCTAACCAAGATAAACCCACGGGGCCACAAACCGCAACGAGTCGTGTAAGAATGAAACCGCAGACAACAAACCCCGGTGATTAATCTCTCTGTCTGTTAGGCGCAGTTGAAAGACAAATTCATCTCGCTCGGCATCCCATTGTATCCCCAGGGACCTTATTTTCAAAAGTGTTGCCTCCTCAAGCGTTCTTATATTTTTGGTCCAATCAGCTTCTGGAATGTCTCGCAATAAGTCAAATAACTTTGATAACCACTTGGTTGGATAGGTGGCCCCGCTTGCATCAGCTAAACCAAAATCTTAATGTTAAGCTCTGCCTTATCCACATTATTGAGGGAACACATTAGGTGGTCCATGTAGACGTTGGACTGCACTCTATTAGCAACTTCGCACGATATACTGGCTCCGTGTTTTATTAACGTTGCTCTGAGTGCGCAGTTGGCAAAAAGATAGACGAAGTTGCCCAAACGGGTGCATCGTTATCCTCAACTCCATTAAAGGCTGATCCGGCTACAAAAAGAAGGCAAAAACGCGAGTCCTTGTTGAACGGGCACATTGCATTTCGCCTAAATCGCCCTTATGTCTGCTGCTACTGCTATCTGACCCAATCAAAAGCGTCACAGCAACTCAATCATAGAAGTCACCAAATCAGAGCCATGCAGAAGGCAACCGTTAAAAGGTATACTATAAATTAAGAGGCTCAATCAAATACGACCATGTTCTTTCGTGGCTTTCTCGGATTGGATACCAAGCAGTGTGACAAGAACCATAAGAAAATTTCCGCCAAATACGCGGATGGTGTTACTATCTGGGGCACAGACGCATCTAAAGTGCGGTCGGCGAGTGACCAAGCCGAAACTGGTCACTCTATTGCAAATTACCAATCAAGTATAGAAAATAAGCCAGCATGTCCTTTGTTAACGCTCCTAATCAACCTTTCTGGGTAAACGGTACAACCCGAATCCAGAAGCTGGACCAGCACAACATTATCGGTTTCTGGCTGAGTAGCAATCTCTCCCATAATCAGAAAGCCAGTGAATCCGCACTTCGTGTCTTAAACCTTATTAAACGCTCTTTCCCGCGTATAACCAATGAGAAATTCCCGTTTCTCTGTGGAACATACAAAAGCTCAGTTTTAGGATATGGCAGCCAAATTGTAAATACTGTCCTCTCTTCACTTTACCCCAAGTTATTCAACCTCAACTCAGCGGAAACATATTGAAGCCCGCACCCTTTTTCCATAAACCCCAACTGGTGCACCGAACTGCAGAAAAGATGACAAATTCAGAACCGGGCCTTTTGAGCGGAAACATCGGACCCCAGTACTACTTCAAGACTTAAAGACTTCGTATACACCTTTCTTTTGCTATTTATCATTTTTACTGTCCTCCTTTGGTATTTCTCTCCTGGTTTCCGATACTAGTCATTCAACGAACGAAAATGTAATGATATAAAACTGAATCGTATTTTGGTATGTTCCTTTTTATTCTGTTTCATGGTCTACGGGCTGAGACGATAAATAAACAATGACAAGAATGTAGAACATCATCAGGTCCCTGGTTTCTGGCTGACCAAGTCACTCTTTATTTTGGCACTAGAAGCCAGTAAATATGCGTTCCGTGTACTACACTTCCTAAAACACTCATTCCTTAGAATAGATAGAGATGATTTTCAGATCCTCTGTAGCACGTGCATCCGACCCCTATTAAAATACGGAAGTCAAACTACTCACTCCCGTTTGATGAGCTATTGTACGGCCCTCAAGCGTTTACAAAGAAAAGCGACAAGGTTTTTCCTTGGTTTGTAATCCACCCCTCAACCTACACGCCCTTCCATCTTGAATCTGTACCCCCTGGAAACCCGCCAGGCAAAACGTGACATCTTCCTACTGTACAACCTCTTCAAGTCCGGTAGGATCCATGACTTATTCTTGCGCACTAGTATGGATAATCTTCGTGGACATAACATGAATCTCTTCAAACCGCGTGCCCGTACACTAGTCCGACAGTGCTCGTCTTCGGTCGTTACTTTTCAGTGAAGCAAAGTCCTTCTTGATCCCTCTTGATCTTCGTGGAGGAAAATCAAAGATAGTGGGTCATGTATCCTGACTGCCGCATGGTATTCACGGATCCTTGTGAGCAGTTTTCTCCCAGTTTGTCCAATATAATGTTTTGAGCAGTTCTTGCAATTTTATTTGTAGATAGCACTGCTCTTGTCCTTCTCCATTGGTTTTGACAGAAGTTTTCTTAGACAGGCGGTAGGTCTGTGGGCGACTTGGAGTCCGTATGATCTGAGGAGTCTTGCCGTCATTTCATAAACGTCCTTGATGTACGGCAGGGTAGTTCTTGTTCCCGATTCTCCGTCTGTTGTTTCTTTCTTTCTTGGGGTTAGAGTTCTTTTAGTTAAGTTGCGGTTCTAGCCGTTGCGAGCAAATACACTGAGAAGATATCTTTCTTCTTTTTTCTTTATGAGTATGTCGGTGCTGCAGTGTGTTTGGATTCTTCCGAAAAAGGTTCTAACACAGCATCTTTTGTAGCTGTGTTGCTGATTACTTTTGAAGTTGAGAATTTTATCCGTATGCGTTGCTTTGCGGTAGGCCGTTGTCTTAAGTTTTCCTGATGGCGTTTTGATGATCGAAATGTCCAAAAAGGCCAGTTGTTTACCTTTCTCCGTCTCTATTGTGAACTTGATGCCAGTGAATGTGTTAATGATGATTTTGTGTGTTTTTTCCAGTTCCGATTCCTTCAAGATGACGAATGTGTCATCAACGTATTAAAGCCAAAGTTTTGGCATGATATTTGGTAGTGCCTCTTTCTCCAGCTTTTGCATTACGACTTGGGCTATGAATCCAGAAATTGGTGATCCCATTGTTGTTCCTTTCAGTTGTTCGTAGATTTCACCCTCGAATTTGAAATATGTCCGCATGCATAGTTTCACAAGTTCGTAAATTGTAGCTTGTTCAATTGGTCGGTTTGGTGGGTGCTCAGTTATCAATTCCCACAACGTGGATCTTGCCAGATCCAAGTCGATGGAAGTAAACAAGGTGGTGACGTTGAACGAGACCATTATTTTGTCTTCTCGAATGTTGAAAGTTTTGAGCTTGTCCAGGAGTTGCCTTGAGTTTATGACGCTATACTTGTGTCCAGCGATGAGCGGTTTTAGTCGTTTCCATAATTCCTTTGCTAATTTGTATGTAGCTGTTATTGGAAGAGAGACGATCCGTCTCAAAGAGATTCCTTCTCTGTGTAATTTTGGTAGTCCGTAGAGGAGGTTTCTGTCAAAACCAAAGGAGAAAACAATAGAGAAGGACAAGAGCAGTGCTATCTACAAATAAAATTGCAAGAACTGCTCAAAACATTATATTGGACAAACTGGGAGAAAACTGCTCACAAGGATCCGTGAATACCATGCGGCAGTCAGGATACATGACCCACTATCTTTGATTTTCCTCCACGAAGATCAAGAGGGATCAAGAAGGACTTTGCTTCGTTGAAAATTATCAACCAAGTCCGGTTAAAACACGTCAGGGAATTTCTCGAAGCTTGACATTCCTCAATAAACTCAGTCAACAGGCACATTGAACTGGATCACGTGTACACGTCAATGCAACTCAAGGATCAAATGACGCAACAGTAAAAGATCACGGCGTGACCTGATAACGGACCGAAACCGCAATCAGGACGGATGGACAACCCCCCACCCTACCAACCTCGCCCCCACGCACCAGTTTAACGGCGAACCCAATCGAACACAACGAGAACAAGGGATAGCAATGGCCGTGGAGAAGAACACACATATAAAGTAACGGACACAAGCAGAAGACTGCTACTTCACAGGCACTGATGATGTGACCTCGGCTGGTGATGAAACGTTTGCAAGCAAATTGCCAAGATCGGTGAACAGGAGAAATAGATTTCAGTTCACCCAAGCTACGAGAACCAATTTTCAACACTTTTTCAATTGCTATCTATGGTTACAGGAAGATATGTGACCGAATTTACCCTGGATAACGGATTGTCTTTAATCACCTTGGGGTCTGTTGGATATCGGGAGCGACCAAAACTAACACTCAAAAAATTAACTAGGGTTCAGGCTTAATCCCGATGAGGAGCAGAATGAGTGAATTTGATTATCGGTGAAAGAGCTTAGATCAGAGTAAGAAGAAATGGGCTGGCACAACACGACGTCGTGTGCATCTGTTCAAATCGTAATAACAACAATTCATCAATGTTGCATGGTATTTCAGTTTCCAGGCCTTGGCGAATTACTGGTGTGGGACAGTTTGCTTCTGTACTGTTCCAACATCATCCGATTTCCTTATCAATCCACAATGAATTGGTTCTGTATCTGAGAATTAACTGGCTGTACTTCAGAGGTTGTTGATATAGCCCACGGCATCAAATGAATGAACCAGACGGACGATAGCCTAGACTCGCACGGTAGAAAAATGGGAACAACCCAGTGATCGAAACGAGAACCACACGAATGCACCCGACAGAATACTCCCCAAGTCCCCAAGTGAGGAGCGGAAGAAAAAAGGAAAGCAGACTATGAGGCGAGGTTTTATATTCGGCTCGACCCAAATGTGGTTTGTGTGGCCGGTTCATTTGTCCATATAAAGTATGACGGTCGGACGGAGGCTCTTTTGCAACGAAAGCTTGGAAATTTCAATTTTACAAAAATAAATAAAATAAGACAAACTTCTCAGTTCTGAGCGGGAAAATAGTGTTTCTCTATCAGCTTTCATTACTGACGACAGCACCTTTTCTTGAGTGGAGTTTGCAATGTAATGGAGTCATTTCTGGGAACTTTGAATTCTGCTACCCCCAATACCACACTAGACGATATGCGTCCAGCTCTGGTTGATCTACTCCCCAGTTTGGCCGCCCGGCAGCAAGCAATGTGGCAACAAGCCTCTTTTGCCGGTGTTGATTCCTCTGGTGGAAACGGTGTTGAATCAGATCGGTTGCAAACCGGCACTATCTCAGACGAACCAGAACATCTCGATGGAACTCCACAGGAATTACCACCGTTCGGTCCCCCACCTGTTTTGGTCTACGCCGTGGTGTTTGCACTGCTTGGAATGCTGCTGTGTCTGTTCATCGGTCTTGTCATGCAACCAGGTGGGTCTACCAGTGCTCTCTCTCACTATCATTGTGCCTCATCGAGTTTTGGGTTTGAGACCAATAGTTTCACGCCTGAACTCGAATTTTCGTTTTTCATCTCTTTAAAAGCCCCGTAAGTGATGAGCTAATTGTCGAGAAAGTAATTTGAACGTTTAGTATGTGAGAATTTATTCACAACAAACAGTTCACATTCACACGTTTTGCTGGCGTGAGTGAGCATTGAGGCGCATAGGACACCTTGGATGTTGAACTCCATTCAAATGATGTATGATTCCATTACCTGGATACCGAACCCCAACTGATTGGTTTTCACACCCCACTTCGCCGTTTTGTGGTTCCGGCTTTATCTGAATCTGGTTTTGAAGGGTCAAATAAAGTCTCTCTATTGTTGCCTGATCAGTAATCCGCCTACGACCAAAGCGTAAACTGATCTCTTTGCTGTAAAACAGTTCAACCATGATTAGTTTGGCCCACAGTTTGAACTCAGACATGTGTGTGATATAATATATAGTACTAGGCGGTAGATTTGATAATAACATTGAGTAATGAAGAAAACAAATTGATGATGCATAGTTCTGATGGCACTCGTTGGATCCTCAATAAAAAATGAGGTATACCTCCATGAGCAATGTACGAACGAAACCCTTAAACCCTAGCTCATCAAGAGCCTGAGGATTGACTGCCAGAAGCGTTTGCTAGGCAATTGAAGAGAGATGAAGAATAACGCGGCCATCAGTAATAATCACAATCTTTTCCGTTTGATTTGGAGTATGGGCTCAAAGAAAGTAGGCCTAGGTGATGTAATTAGGGATTCTGACGGCACACTGATTTATACTCAACAACGTCGTCTTGAACGATCAACAAAACATTGTAAGACAGTTCAGTTGACCCCTGGCGACCTCTCAATTCGTGGCATCATTCCTCCGTCTGTTCCACTTAGGCGCTTGGAGTGATATTCAAGATCGATATCTTATCCTGGATAACGGATTGACCGATCAATCAATCCATATATATTGACATTTATTGTGTTACTTGCCGCGGCTTACATATACCTGGATTTGGCAAACCTCATACTTTCAAAGACCCTTCAAACAATGGGCGTGGTATATAACCTTCAGTTTGACATTGACATTAGCTAATCATATAACAAGGCAATAAAAATAGTTACCCCTTACGTTCCATTCATTCGAACTGTTCTGCGGGATTCAAACCCGGAATCATGTCCATAAAATTGGACTGAAATCAAGCGCTAGGCTGACCGACCGACAACAAGTCAAGCTTGAATAACCTTTATACACCCGAAATGGGTTAAATTTCAGCATGTTCACAGAATAAAGGGGACTGAAGAAAAACACAGATGGTGAATTGATAACAGGTAGTCGAATGCAGAACATTACAATTTATTGCTATTAGAAGGATATTAGCTGCCTGATAGGGAATCATCCTACCGTCGGATGATTTGCAGGTTAGATTATAATCGTGTGGATCACTGTCCGCTTGATTCAAATTATATGTTATCCAATAAGCCAATGTGGTCGGCATGCCTTATACCACCGGCTTTGTAAAAAATATTTAGGAGAACTGGAAATTCTAGTTCTGTTGTTTCTGTTTTTCTATTTTGATCGTTCCAAATTTTTAACAACGGACTCTCTAGGTTGCACTGCTGAACACAAAGCCCTTCCTTTCAGTTCTCGTTGAATAAAGGTAATTTTATCTGCTAAGTGATCCACTAATAATAATTTAGTAGGGACTAGCCAGTTCATTTTGATGGGAGGGGGGGGGTTAATGAAAAGAAATTTGTAATGGCATTTCGTATTCGGAACTACTTCATTATGATTAATAGAGGTTTCAGATAGATAATGTTTGCATCACATTTTATATCCCCTAACTATTCATCCTATATTTTTTCGGTTGATCTCATCCAAAATCAAATTAAATACATAAGTAGGCATTTTGCTTTTTGGATGAATGAAAATACTCGAACCCTGACCTTTTGTCCCAATTATGGATCACGTCCTTCATTCTTCCAAATCCTGTTTCATTTCCTCTGAACTGCTTCCTTTCCTACGATGATTGGTTTGAATGCAACAGACCCTACACTGTCCTGGATCAAACTGAGCCGTTGTGAAGAAAATACGAATAACACGATGGGTAACTCAGGTGATGGTGACCGAATCGCTCTGGTGCCAAATCCTGCCCGTCTGTGTCATAACAGTCGCCTGTCTCGATGGTGTCGTGTGTTGCTGTTAATAGGCTATCTGTGTCTGAAAGCCGCGTACACATTCGGGGTCACATTGACCGCTCTGGTAATTGTGATTCGTTATGTAACACGGTAAGTTCCGCTGCCGTCTTATGATCTTTCAGTTGTATGAAAATTTATCTCTTTAGTATATCTGTTGCGTTCACTAATGTAATGTACCCATACGGTGTGGCTTTTGAACTAGACAAACGAGCATCTACCAGATAGTATGCCTTGCTACACGCATTCAATTTGGCTGTGATCTCCTTTGATAATCGCAGTTTCGTGTGAAAGGAAGGTGATTTGTTGGAATCAGAATAATAAACGTTCTTAACCCTTTTGATTAAAGCTCACTATTTTACTTGTGAGCGTGTTGTTATTGGACTAACTTCATCGGATCCACCGCGGTTGAAGCTATCTCTATCCACACGCATCTGCTTACATTCGTCATCGTCGATTTCCGTTGGGAAATCCTGCCGAAGACTGGAGTAATCAGCAGGAGCCTCCGGGAATTTCGTCACATGTTGCACACATTCTATCGTTCGTTTCTTGGCCCTGACCCCAGTGGGATGTTTTTCATGCACATTTATTCGGAACATCCTATTGGCTGCATGTTTTCCTTCAAATCCCCCCCCCCCCCG